GCCAAATCACCCTGCTCTGCCAATTCTATGCAAGTAAACCTCACAATAAGGCACCGTGCGATTTGTCATGTTTCACAGGAAGGTCATAATTGATCACCAAATTGACCTGTAGAAAGATACAATATCAGGATGATGCATTTTGTAAGCAGCAAGGCAACTTAGAACAATGAAGGGCAATGGTACCTGTTGCTGATCAAAACCACGGGCAAGAAGGTCGGTTGAAATGAGGACTTGAGTCAGCCCATCTTTAAACTCTTTCACTATCTTGTCTCGGTCTTCTTGTTTGAGAGCACCTTGAATAGTTGTATAGTCATAACCAAACTCGGCAAGGGACTTATGCAACATTGTTGCACTGTTCCTTGTGCGGACAAATATAATTGTCTGTTCTACACGCTCTCCGAATTCAAAAATTATATCCTTGACCACCATATCCTTAGAAAGTTCATATGGAACATTCACTTGATACTGCTTCACTGACTCCAATGATAGTTCTTCCTTCTTAATGAATAATTGATTATGATCACTGCTTACTATTATCGATATATAGTTCTTGACAATTTCATTAAATGTGGCAGAAAACAGGAGTACCTAGGCATTGATTCAAATCCAGGCATTCAATCAATCACTGTTTTCCGAAACGACGAATGCAACTAAATAGTGATGATAACTACTTTTATTACCCATATAAACTAGCCTTTTTAGACAAAACACATGTATTCGTTCATTGGCATCAATATAATTAGATATTCTAATCCATGAGCATTCTTCATAATGATTAAACATACAATCTATCCAAAAAAGACTTAACATAAAGAAAGTTTAAGTTGGCATATAAAAAAAGAGGCTGTCACACCACATTCTAGATCGAATAAATAACATTTAGAATAGACTCATAACACAAACCTGGCAGTGAGAACTGATATTTTTTACATTCTCCATTATATACAAAGATTCGCCTTTAAATCCATCCTGAAATCAACGAAAAACAATCAGTTCATCTAACCGTGAACTCAAACCATTAAATCATATGATCGCGCAACATAATTAAAGCAATGTTCATCCTTCCAAAACAAATCATCTAACCTTCAAATACATAGACAAGTAAAGCTCCAAAATTTTCCACAAGAAACAAGTAAATATTAAATTGCAACAAAGATGATTTGTTTTTTTGTTTTCCTGATACCGAGAATATGAGAATATAAAATTATAAATGTCACCAAAAGCACGGGCAAACAAACAAGTAAAACAAAGGTTACCTCGGCAAGCATGTGATCAGCCTCATCAAACACAAGAATCTTCAGAAAACTCACAACCAATTTCTTGGCCAACATCCAGATCTTAATAGTGCCAAGAGTGCCAATAACTACTTGCGCTATAATAGGAAGCCGTTGATGTATGGAACTATGATCCGTTGGAACAGCACATTCTGAAGTGATCCCAGTATACTAAGCACTTCCAAATTCTGCAAAAATGGATCCAAAATCCATCATCAAAAACCAAATATCATTAAACATCGAAAATTCAAAAATCCCAATAGTTAAACCTGAATAGCCAGTTCTTTAGTGGGGCAAATACACAATGCCTGAGAGCTTTTAGCTTGGGATCAACACGGAACAGCATTCCAAGCATAAAGCAAGCGGTTTTCCCAGAACTGTTATGAGCTTGAGCAATTAAATCCTTATAAGGGGGATCCAAAATCATAGGCAAACTAATGGCTTGGATTTACTAGGCTTTTCAAATTTCATCTCAACGTATACTCCCTTCAATAGTTCTGGCGACAAATTCAATTCCTCAAACGTAAATGCCGATGTGTATGGTGTATCCCCTGATGTAACCTGAAAATCCAAACAAAAATTCCAAGTCAAAACCCTGTATCGCAGTCAAACTAAAGATGGAAACGTTTAAATGTGCTTTCAGTTTCTACATTCTTGGAGGAAATTCATTTATTCTGCTTCTAAATTAAGACTTCTAATCCTGGATGCCTTTGATTTAAAAATCAAAGTTCAACGGATTACAACATTGTTGACATTGATTAAATCTTCAAATAGAAAAGATTAAATTCTCCAAAAATCAACGCAGAAAGATTAAATTTCACAGGGATATAATTAAACGTGACAAAAAACACAGATGTTTTAGATTCAGGGATTTATACGGCTTCTATATTGGAGTCCTCAGGTTCATTGATGGTCATTTTGTTGTCGTTGATTGTTAGGTTTACAACGTGACTGCCAATTCACCTATGGTGTTGACGAGCCCGGTTCCATCGCCGTTTGGTTTCAAATTTTCTTCAATCGGTAATTTATTTTTTAATAGTGAGAATGAAGCAGGGATTATATAGTGCTCAAGTGACACTGAGTTGGGTTTTAGCGGTTCAGCTTAATTGTTAAGCGGTATTTTAGGTTTGCTTAAATAGTGACGCGGTGAGGGAAGTTAGGGAGGTAACTTCATTGGAGTGAGGTCCTAATTAAAATATTATTATTTAAAAAATTAATTGTCCCAAATTATAACTTTAATTCTAATATTTTTTTAATATTTTACTTTTTGTCCTAAGCTATGACCATCCTTCTAAATTGTTTCTTAAGTTTTTTAATATTTTAATTTCATCTCAAACTTGACTTTCAGTGCAAACTATGAAAAAGACAACACAAAACAAAACCCCAAGAAAATGAACAACGTTAGTGTGGGGAGTTCTCAGCTAGTCCACGCTCCTGTACTTTCTCCTCGTACAAACACATTGATTCTCGATTTTCTCTGCGGTCTCTCTTTGAACGAAATTTCCTTACTTCGTCATCTCCATTAAAACAAGCCCCACTGTGCTTTTGAGAGTTGGCCATCCATTTCTAACCCAAGTTCATTTCTTTATTGTCGTCATCATTGGATACAATTGAGATTTTGAAAAGAGATTAAAAAGCAGTGTTTTTTTTTAAATTTTCGGATAGAAAAATCGAGATGGGATCATCTTCAGGGCAAAGCAATGGAAGCTATGATCTTTCATTCAAGATCTTATTGATCGGAGATTCCGGGTTGGCAAGAGTAGTTTGCTCGTTAGCTTAATTTCAGCTTCTGCAGAAGATCTAGCTCCCACCATTGGTTCATTCTTCTTCTTTTTTACTCAAAATTCTTGGATCTTAGATAAGTTTATGGTAATTTTTTATTTGGGTTTTGTTTGGGATTTTAAGATCAAGTTGATTACAGTTGGTGGGAAGAGGTTAAAGCTTACCATATGGGATACCGGTAACAACCTCGTATCAATACCATCTTATATTTCTTATTAGTCTTTTAAGTTTCAAAATTTGTAGCTTGTTAGTCTACTTGAAGTCAACTGTCACTGATTTTACATCAATCTCAAGTGTTTTCTGCTTGGATTTTGATCCTTTTATCCATTAAATTGTTAGTCTACTTAAATGTGATGTTGTTCCATTTTTTATCTTTGATTAGTTCTCTATTTATTAAAATGATTGTCTTGGAACATGGAGAAATCATATGATTGATTTGTGGAACCATAATGCATCATGTAGCTGGGCAGGAAAGGTTCAGAGCATTGACAAGCTCTTACTATAGAGGTGCCCAAGGGATCATACTTGGTAAGTTTATCTTTTGGTGCATGTATGAGTTTCAGTACTTTCTATATTTTGATCCGATGCAGCGCATCGTCGGTTTCAATTTACGAATGTTGACGATCCGATTCTCTGCAAAATTGTATCATAAGCTTTCAGGCGTCTGATAGCAATCTTGATTGAACTGAATTCTAGGTCCCTGTAGCAGACACTTTCATGAATTAGCATGCATCATGTAGAATATCGATCGAACTTTCCTCTTGGACTGGTACTTAAAATTACTGCAATGGTGACTTATTTATTGGCTTTGGCTTTAGTTTACGATGTAATACAGAGAGAAACCTTCACTAATCTGTCTGATGTTTGGGCCAAAGAATTGGAGCTCTATTCTACCAATCAGGAGTGTGTCAAGATGCTCGTTGGAAATAAAGTTGATAGAGTAAGTTTCTTCTTGACAATTTCATAGTCTTGGAAAGAGCTCATATGCTCTATTCATGATGAAGAAACCTTATGGAACAAAGTTTGTTAATAAAGATCATAGGACCCCGTAAATGCCTTGAAGGTTTTTCCTTTTCGTGTCGTCTCAAACTTTGAAGCATTGATTCCTTCTGGATAGCAGCCGTCTTATATTACCGATCTGTTGATGTTGCAAATTGTGGTTTCTTGTATGAAAACTCCGTTTTGAGTCATTTTCTTTTGATTCATATGCTTCATTACATTCGATCTGTTTACATTTCAGGATTCTGAGAGGGCAGTAAGTAGGGAAGAAGGAACTGCGCTTGCAAAAGAGCTCGGATGCATGTTTCTTGAATGCAGTGCTAAAACAAGAGAAAACGTGGAGCAATGCTTTAAGGAGCTTGCATTGAAGGTAAAGTTTTCCATTTTGAATCATTTTTTTTTCTTTTGATTCATATGCATGTTTCTTTGTTTTCCATTAAATATTGCCTATAGTGTGATGCGTATGAGTTGGCTGCAGATTCTTAATATTTGTGGATTTTTTTACAGATAATGGAAGTTCCGATTTTTTGGAAGAAGGGTCTGCTTTAGGGAAGAGAAACATCTTAAAGCAGAAACCAGAGTGTAAGGCTCATCAAGGCCGTGGATGTTGCTCTTAAATTGCAGATATATCTTACTATATTTCTTCTTTCCGAGTCGAGTGCAAGTGAGTTTGAAAGGTTGCTCCTTTTAAATTAGAGAAAATGAAATCAATTAATAAAGGAGACTAAACATCAGAGCGACCTTTCTTCTTTCCAATGGGAGCTCCTTTTCTATTTGTTTATACTGTTCTTATGTTCCAATGGTGAATCATCTAGGGAAAAAAAATCTTGATTTGATCCAACCATGAACGATTGAGAAGCTTGACTTGCAATCAACCAAATGAGATGCAGCCAAGAAGAAAATGGAAATTTGGATTCCCTAAGATCCAATTGCAGAATAATTTGATCCAAGCTTTGAGTCTTAAATGGATGAAAAATACAACTAGTGCTGTCAATAAAAATAAAAAATCTGATAATTTTCATGTTGGAAGAACATATAGCTTGACAAAAAAAAAATACAAGTTGTTCCTCACAGATCATTCTTAGCTGCAGAATGTTTTACTAACCAATTTAATACATTTTAAATTACATTGATCGCCGCTCTTTCTCGGGTATCTTCAATGATCATTTTCAGCCCCAAATTTAAAACTTAGATTGAAAAGAGAATACCACCAAAATGAAGAAAGGGAGCAGCAGCACAGCCATCATCCAGCAGCTCTGATTCATCCGTTAGGCTGTAACCATATCATCTTTCCCTCTCTCCGCTGCTGCATCCACCATTTTTTTCCAAGTCATTTCTCGTTGCTCTTCCACCTCTTGGGCTCTGGATTCTTTCTCTTCAAATTGTCTTTCACACTCATCGAATAACTCAGCATCCATTGCCATGAAAACCTTTTGCACATTCACAGTCAACCCATGAATAGCCTGATTCCAATGGTTTTGGATATTCTTCTCCAATGCCTTGAAGATGATCGGTAATATCACCTGCCGGTTTTGGGCAATTAAGCTCACAATGTGCTCATTATTCCACAAGAAGAGGGCTCTCTCTGCGACCTGCAACACAAATCGGTCTTAAGAAGAATTCCAAAGAAAAAAAAGGTTTTAAAAAGCAGTCAACAATTGTGTAGCAACCCATTCCCTCCAACAATTCTAAATTACAACGACCACTGTAGAAACCTTACTAACAAAAGTAAATAACCAAAAACGTAAATGTTCCACCATATACTGCTTTGCAACAGGTAATCCACTGAGGGTGAATCTTAGCTCGACAAAAACAGCTTAATAATTATTCAACCATATGGAAGTTAAGGGAAAATGCCACAAAAGGCTAAAGGGAAAAAAAAGAGTAAAAGGGATGTAGGGGAATAATAAGTAAAGGTAGAATCACCAGACTGAAGATTATGACTAAGGGACTCGTGATGACACTACAATGTGTAGAATCTACAGGCAACAAGGGTTGCAAATGAACTTCAAACTAACACCATTAAAGAAGAAATTGTTGTTCAAATTTTGGATAAATTATGTCAAAGATTACCATCTATGCAAGGAAAGAGAAACAACAAACAAAATTCCAAAGCAACCACAGTTCGATGTTTGGGCCAATGTATAACTTTTCATAAACTCTTAAAGTTAACTGATCATGAGGACAACAGTAGAAACTCAATGATGCAAGACACTGCATAAAGCAAAAGCAATTGAATTTTCCCTGTTCTTGGCAAACAGAAACCCTGCCAAAGGATCTCATTCAAACAAGCATATATAATATAACATGGGAGAAAACTGAAACTAATAGCTTACTGAATTGGACGCTGGATAGAAATAGAGAAGCTACTGGAGTGGAATGTAAACAGAAATGTTCAAGGTTCAAATCTATATTGCTCCGACTCCTAATTTCTGTTTAAATACATGTCCAACACATTTTTGGAAACAAGTATCGAGATAACCCTCAAAACCAATTTCCAGAAACATATAAGAAATTATTAAACTTACATACAAGTAGGGGTGTGCAAAAAAACCCAATCCGACAGATCCGATCCATTTTTCAATTTATAGTTCGGATCGGGTATCCGATTTTTTTCGGATTTTCGGATCGGATACGGATCGATCAAAATCCAATTTCGAATTATCCGAAAATTTGGATATCCGATCCGTTTTTCAATTTTCGGATAGTTCGGATCGGTATCCGAATTTTTTTCGGATTTTCGGATCGGATACGGATTGATCAAAATTCAATTTCGGATTATCCGAAAACCCGAAAAAATTTGGGCTATATTTAGCAAAACAAGAGTTTGGGTTTTGATCTAAAATTGATTTTGGGTGAGCAGATTTCAGGTTCTTGAATGCGTTGAAATACTGCTCGGGGTGGAGTCTTGTTGTGGGAGAATCTGTTGAGAGCCCAAAATCATGGGAGTTGAAGCCTTCAACATTGTCATACACACGAAAGACTCAAATGCAAAGCACCTATGACTTTCTTTCGCGAAAACAGCTCCAGGTTCAAAGGTTTCGGCAGCAGCCCCGAGATCCCATATTGCCAACTCCATTCGTCTTCACAAAACTCCGTGCAGATCTCAAAGAGAAGTGTAAAACTTGCACAAAATGTCCCGGGTTCAACTTCGTAAACTGGATATCATCAAACATCGACAACGGGGCACTGGCGTTTAATTTCCTTTCCAAGGACCTGTTAAAGGCACTGCAATATTGAAGTCGCTTGTGAAGCAAAGCAATGTCGGAACCTTGGACGATATTCACAATTAAATCATATCTACTCACTTGCTTACTGAGTTTTCTAAGTTCCAGCTGATGAACAACATGGCGAAGTACATGGCACCCAAGGAGAATATGATGTAGAAAAATCCATAGCTATAGCGGATAGCATCCTCTAGTTTCACCATATCTTTGCTAAACTGGGAAATCATAAAAGCTATTAAGTGTTTCTTATTTGATTAATGCTTTTATTATGTTAATTTTTTTTGAATTTTTTGCCAAAAAAAAAATCGGATTCGGATCCGGATATTCGGATATCCAATCTGAAATTTCGGATCGGATATGGATCATTACTTTAGGTATCCGAAATTTTTGGATATCCGACAATGCACACACCCCTACATACAAGTACCAAAAGTTATAGGAGAAAAATATCAAAACCTGACAACAATTGGACATCAAAATCATAGTTAATCCAATTTTAGCAACAAATCATCACTCTACAATTCTGAATACTAATGGTTCCTAAAGATGAATAAGAACGCAAACTATCAGAATTTTGCAAACCCAAAATGACATATTGAAAAGATAAACGCCCTTATGTATTACCTGAAAATGAGAGCTATTGAGGCAACGAGCAATCTGGCTGAAAAGAGGAACCATCCATCGTTGGAACTCGGCAGGCTGAGTTGCTTCAAGTACTTCTTCAAGTTCTGCAAGGAAAAGAACTTCTTTTTGACAATTAGTCAAAGGCCAATACTTCAACAACCCTCTAATAACAGTGTCAGCCAACTTGGAATCCTTCTCAACGAACTGAATTATACAATAAGACAACTGCTGGTGATACACTGCTACAGATTTCGCCTTATGCAAAGGAATCAATGCTCTCACTAGAAACAACTTATGTTCCTCTTTCATGGGCAAAGCGAAGCCATTAATAATACTTCCAAGAATCTCCAAAAGCTCCCCAATCCCGTTATGCCTCTCTGTTTCGTATATAAACCAATAGAAAATATTATTTATGGCTTTCCTGATAAACGGACGATGGACCATGAATTTACCATAAATCCTATGAAGAATGGTTTTCAAAAACTCCCTTTCCCTGTGATCCTCTGAATCAAACAAATCAAGCAACTTCAGAACAAATGAATGATCAATGTATCTCTTAGCAGCCTTAGTGTCTGTATCCGAAGACACTACATATCTCAAAAGAAGCTCGTAAACAACCTGTAAATGCGGCCACGAGGGTTCCAAGTAGCCTTCATCTTCTTCAGAATCCCTCGCTTCTTGGCCCGTGTTCTCGTGAGACGCCGGAGGGAGGCACCGAAAAATGTTGACTCCAATCATTTTAATCATCTCTTCCTGACACACATCCGAGATTTTGGCCGACCCGGCTTGGATGAAATCCAATAGCTCCAGCAGTGTTTGCCGCTTGATTTCTTTTTCACGGGTCGATTTCAAGGTATCGGAGAAATCGAATTGGAAGCAACAAATCTGTAATTTTCTCATGAACAAGTTCTGTCTCTCCGAAACGGAGACTTCGCGAAATAATGGCAAGGGTTCCACGGTGGTCATCGGTGGTGGGACCATAGGGACGTCGGCGTTTTGGGCTGGAGCGACGACCGCATTGGAGTTTGGACCCGACCCGGGGTTGTTGGAACTTGGTTGACCGTACCCGTATAAAGATGCATCTGTTGAATTCGATTTGGAAGACTTCCGTTGCCCTCCTTTGATAATTTTCTTAAACATTTTGGACCAAGAAAAGAAACCCTAGTAAGGATTACGCTGGACTAATCGAACTAGGGATTAAAGAACTTGACGGCGGAGGTTCAGAGGCTTCACCCTAAGAAAGAATACTCAAAACCGGATCTGACGGTAACAATGGTTCCTGAAATGATCAGATTTCATCAAAGTTGATTGACCGGAAATTTGGAAAGAGTCGCTCGGAAAAAGAAGATCGCCGGAATGTGATCAGCTGATCTGACGGTGCTGCTGCTCCGTCGACCAAGTATAGCAAGGACCAGATTAATGAAAAAAAGAAACAGAAGGAAACAAGGAAAAAAAAGTAACGAGAAGTGGAGGGTAATTATGGGAAAGAAAAAGCTGTTTGAAAAATGAAGAGAAATGATTGCAAAAACACCTTTACAGTAGTTTTATTGAAATAAATTAGGATTAATCTCTTTTTCACACGGATTAATTTTGCAAAACTACCCAACTTATCAATGGGATTCTAAATTGATCTTTATACTTCACGATGTTCCTAATTGAGTCCTTAAAGTATAAATAATATATTAATCGAGTATTTCATCAACCTAATCTTCAGTTCAAGTGGTAAAGCCTAATTAAATTTGATTTAAAACATGTGAATTAAATTATAATTATGTATGTATTGATTTTATGGATAATTTAGATCAAACTTTTTCAAGAAAAAGTGCCAATATAATTTACACAATTTATTTATTGTCTGACATATTAGATTTAAATTATCTTTATAATGAATATACACTAAAAAAACATAATAAATATATACATTGACCATTTGATTCATATATTTTAAATATGATCTATATTATATTTAAGTTGACATGTAACATCAAACTGATAATTATATTGTGAAAATAACATCAAACTGATATATTTTAAATATGATCTATCTTTTTTAAACATTTTGACCTTCACACTATTTTAATTTTTGGTCAAAACAAACTATGATGGATGAAAATCGTTAGTTGATTAATGATAAACACACATGTTACTAACGTAATATTTTCACATGTGATCAATTACTAACATGATGTGTGTCATGTCATTACTTTGGTTACATGACATTAAATTTGTTGTACATATTTTGTCATCACTTTAGATGATATGACACATGTCACTCCATCAATTAAGTACATATAAAAATTTATGTTTTTTAACCAAAAGTTAAAATATTGAGAGTTAAAATAATCCTAAAATAGAAAAAGGGTAAGATCGTCATTTTTATAAACATTTGAGATATTTTTTTTCATGAGAAAATAACCTCAGTGACCAAAAACGCCTTATAATATACGATTTTAACCAACTTTTTTTGGATTTGCCAAAATGACCAACTAAATCGCAATGTGATCGATAATTCGCAACACGATCTCCGGTATCGCAAATCAGTTTCCAGATTCGCAACGCGATTCTGACTATCGCATTGCGATTTTCCTAATTCGCAATGCGAATACGTAAATCGCAATGCGAATACGTAAATCGCAACGCGAATCTGACTATCGCAACGAGATTCTGACTATCGCAACGAGATTCTGATTATCGTAACGAGATTCTGACTATCGCAACGCGATTCTGACTATCACAATACTGAATTTCAAATTCGCAACTCGATTTCTGAATTCGCGACAGGTTTTAGTTTCGCAACACAAATGTTTTGGGTATATAACTACGCATCAGTAGAAACTCATAACCTAAATCCCTAAATCGTAACTCATTCCATCTCCATCTATCACTCTCTCCAACGACATCCGTTCCTATATCCAACGACATCCTTCCCCATCCGGCAACAGGTTTTAGTTTCGCAGTTCGTTTGTTTAGTAAACTAATTTACAATAATGAAATCATCTAATGTTGATCATGTTTGGATAGATTTGTGTTTTGGAGGGTCATGGGAGAATGTTCATGGTGTTTTACAATATATGCATTTACCCATGAATCTTCAACTAAAAATATCATTAAAAAAAGTTAACTTATGAAACTCTAATGTTACGTGTTACAAATAAATTGAATTTAGAGCCCCTAAGTGGATTTAGGCTATCTTATCAAAGAAATGGTAAAGTTTATTTGTTAACCGACAATGAAGATGTTGAACGATTCATTGCTTACATTAGTGTTTCAAGTGATGATGTTACATTGTATATTGTTGAACCTAGAATTAGTGAAGTTGGGTCAGTAGCAGGTAGTAATCAACTAAGTTTTTCAACCCCAGTTTATGGTGCTCAAAATTTAATGGTTCCACCACAATTTCATCACCAAGTAAATATTGTTTCACCACATTTCCAATACCAAACACAATCTCAAAACCCACAACCTTTCCCTAATCCAAATCCCAATCAACTTTCAGCACCAAATTCCGGTTTTCGTATTGACCAGTTAGACGATGATGAGCCAACAGAAAAAATTGTGAGTACTAGTCAGTATTCGAAATTTGATCTTGGTCAATACCCTGACTTTGATCTTGGTCAATACTCGGATTTTGATGATTTTTCAGAAGAAGAAACAGACCCTGCGTGTAATGATTTTGATATTGGTTAATACCCGAATTTTGATGATGAAACAGTCGTTGCCGAGAAAGATGTTGTTGATGATAATGAGGAGGAAGTTACGACTGTAAATGAACATGTTGAACATCCATTCTGTAATTCATATAACCCTGAAGAAGAAAAAGAAGAAGAAGAAATCCCCAAAGAAAAGTCCCCGAAGAAAATGTCATGGGAGTATAACTGGAATATGCCAGAATTACTTCAGATACTGGAAGAAGAGTTGGTAAAGATAGCAGTTGATTGTTACACAAAAATTATTCGTATCAAGAAAGATGATTGTTTTGATACAAAGGAAGACTTGAAGATAGCTTTGTATACGAAATGTGTGGAAGATGGCTATCAACTAAAAGTTAACAAATCAAGCAAAGATCGTTTCGAAACAAGGTGTATGATTGACAAAAACTGTACGTGGCGTATGATTGCAAAGAGGATAAAAGATTGTGAAATGTTTCAAGTTAGGACTTTTATTGATAAACATACATGTTCAAGAACCCAATTTTTTCCTCACTATAGACAGGCAAGCAAAAAGGTGTTGGGTGGTTTTCTGGCTGAGTTAATGTTTTTGAATGGCATGGTATATCGGGGACATGAAATTATGACTGACATGAATGCTCGGTTCAAGATTAGTATCTCATATTCTCAAGCTTGGAGAGCCAAATGTTATGCCTTGGAATTGTTGAGGGGGTCGCCAGAAGCATCGTTTGCCCAACTGCCAGCTTATTGTCACAATTTAAAGCTGAAAAATCCTGGGTCGGTAACTCATATCAAAACAGATAGAGATGGACGCTTTGAGTTGCTATTTATCGTCATTGGTGTTGCGGTTAGTAAATCAATATAATTTTGTTGACTCATTTTTGTTAGTTACATGCATTTCACATTTAAATGATTATATTTCTTGTGTATATGATTTTGTAGATTCGTTCGTTTATTACTTGCATGCTCCCAGTTATTATAGTTGACGGAGCACATTTAAAAGGTCGATACCTTGGAGTAAACTTATTAGCAGTAGCCATAGATGCTAACAATGGGATACTGCCAATAGCTTATGGGGTTGGCAAATCTGAAACCTCTGATTCATGGACATGGTTTATGGGGCATCTTAGGGATTGCATAGGTCCTATTAGCAATCTGACAATCATATCTGATAGGGTAAACTCAATTGACAACGCTGTTAGAATGTGTTTCCTAGATGCTTTTCATGGACTTTGTGGTGTTCATTTGTATAGAAATCTAAAATCAAGGTCTGCTGGTATAAAAAATCACAAATGGACATACTAGAAGGCTGTAAAAGCTTATCGGGAAGTGGATTTTAATAAGCATATAAACTGTTTAAGACGTGTTTTGCCTCAGTGTGCTCAAACACTAGAAGATGTCGGGTTTGAAAGATGGTCAAGAGTACATCAACTTGGAGCAAGATATGGTTTCATGACGTCTAATAGTGCATAATCAATCAACACTCTAAGTCGTCATTCCCAAAAATTACCCATTATTATGTTAATGAAGTTTTTTCGAGCCTCTATTCAACAGTGGTACTACAAGAAAAGAAACCATGCAGGTATTATTTCTTTAAATTCGTAACTTATCATATATTTTACTAAGTATTATTTATTTAAATTTACAGGAACATTAGAACATCGTGTTACACCATGGACTGAAAAAAAGATAACGAAACGTGTTGTGAAGTCAACGTCATGGAGAGTTGAACTATGTTCAAACACTTTGTTTGAAGTACTGGATAATAACTTAAATGGGCTTGTTGATCTAAATGCAAAGACGTGTAGTTGTATGAAATGGCAAATATCTGGTTATACGTGTGGCCATGTTATAAAAGTTTCTCTTCATCTAAACCAAGATGATTCAAGCACATACGCTATGGATTGCTACACTACAGAAGTATATCGACAGACTTATGTCGAGATTGTCTACCCTATTCTACATCCTTCTGAGTGGGACATACCAGATGACTTACAAATAGTTTTGCTACCAGACATGGACAGAAGGCTACCTAGCCGACCAAAAAGTCACGATCGTATACCGTTTAAGGGTGAAGAGAAGAAGAGATCGACATGTAGTCAGTGCAAGAAAAGTGGTCATACAAGGTTGAAATGTGGATCACCAGTGCCATCACAATCATCTTTTCCTCTACCAAAATATGGATCCTCATTAAAATCCCAATCACAACCGGCTTCACCTTTTGGGACTGTTAACTTAGGTGATTTTTAAATGCAAACGTTGTATTATGTGTATATTATGATTGAACTTTTAACATTTTCAGTTAGGCATGTATTAGTAACTTGAGTTTGAACATTGCTATGATATGTTCAGTTGTTATCACTTATTAGACATTCATTTGACTATCGCAACGCGAATATGACTATCGCAATACAAAAATGACTATCGCAACACGAAATTGACTATCGCAACGCGGAAATGACTATCGCAATGAGAGAATCGCAATGCGAAATGAAAATCGCAACGAGAGAATCGCAATGCGAAAATGAAAATCGCAATGCGAATTTAGTTTCGCGTTGCGATTTTCATTTTCGCATTGCGATTCTCTCGTTGCGATTTTCATTTCGCATTGCGATTCTCTATTTGCGATAGTCATTTCCGCGTTGCGATAGTCTGTTTTGCATTCAACATAATGCAGATTGAAATCAACAAATCAACTATTACATTTCAATCAATTAAACAAGCACAAATAATAATTATGTACACATCAATTAAACAAATCAACATTTACAAATCATCTTTTACAAATCAATTAAACAATCAAAAAAATAATAATAAGA